AAAGGCAGTGAGAGGTTGAGAAATTTAGTTGATTAATGCATCTTGTGAATTTTAACAATAAGCATGCGAGATGGTGACTTTACCAACACTGTGAGATATTGAGCCTACACAGCAAATTTTTTCTCCATGAGGGGTTCACACTGGGGTAGTGAGGCAGAACTTGCTTTGGTGCTTAGTTGAAGAAGTGTAGCGTTGGCTTGAGTTTAAAATGATGAGGGCAATTTGTTGTTTTGTTTAACCATTTTCAAACCAAAAAGCCATCCATAGATCATCATCCATTGAAAACCCATTTTGAGCCTTTGACCTTTTCTTTTCACATACCCACATTTTATCTTATCCCACAATCTATTACACCTCTTAGTTATGATGGAAACAGAAAAAGAAGCAAGATTTTTTGTTATTTTTATTTTGTTGGTTGTTAAAAAAAAAAAAAGAAAAAAAAAAAAAAGAGATTTTCAAAAAGAGAAAAATAGCAGACAAAGTAGCAGCCACTGAATTAGTTGATTATGCTTCATAATTGTGTTTCCTTTCCATCATAGCTAAGTTAGCCAATCCCCCACAAATTTTCCACCTTCACCTTAGCCAAGTTACAACCTATTCAAGTCCCTTTGATTAAGTTCAGGTCTGTGTGTCACTTAGAAGACAAGAGCATCTTATCAAGCCTATGTCAAAGCTATTCCTAGTGTTGGATTGAGAGAAACAGAACCCTTGAGCATTGAGTGAATAATTCTGTAAGTCAGTGAGGCTGTGAAAAGTTGCCATCTTTGTTGCCTTTTGAAAAATATTGCATGCTGTGTTAAGAAATGAATTTTCAGAATCTCTTTTGTCATTATTCAACAGTCAGTGAGGCACCCACGCATTTGAATTTCACACACTGTTTGCTGAGTATTTTTATGGAATAAAAAGATCACCAAGCTGCCTGATTTGTGATTGATTGATTGCTGAACTACGTACCCACCTCTGTTCCCTGATCTTTGTGATAATATGATGCACTGAAGTTTGGTTTTAAAAGCTGAACATTGAAATGCTGCTGAGAAGTGTTTTGGATTGTTGATTGATTTTGAGTAAGCTTTAAATGATGTAATGCAATTTCTCGGGTTGTGAAGAGTTGTTAAGTTGATAAATTCTGGAACTAATTTCTTGTGTTACTTGAGGACAAGCAACAAGTTAAGTTTGGGGGTGTGATAAGTCTCTGAAATGAGACTTGAAACATATGGTTTTAATGTGCAAATGGAAATAAAAAAATACTTTTTATGTTAGTAAAAGCCCCAAATTTACACTGAGTTGAATTTATTGATTAAAGTGCTGATGGGCTGCAAGTTTATTTTTCAGGCCCAAATAGAAGAAGCCAGAAAGAAAATAATAAAGCAAAGGAAGAAAAAAAAAGGGAGTGGGCAGATACTTTTGAATTAAAAGCCCATTTGAAGAATTCCAACCCAAAAAGATATCCAAAGCAACATTTGAGCCTCAATCCTATTTCTAACATCACAAAACCCTAATCTCCTCTCTCGCAAACCCACTATGCTACCTAACCACAGCCGCACACCAAACCCACCCTCATCATATTTCCTAATCTCTCTTCCTCTAAGCCGTGAAACATTTTTCTGAAAGACCCACACAAACCACCTAGCCACTCAAATCAAAGTCCAAGTGTGATTATTGTAACCATCTGTGACCACACAGCTTGCTTTAGCCATTGTTCTAGAAGCCATACACCAACAGAATAGTGATGTGGATGCTGTTACGAGTGCGGAGCGAAATTGCATTTGGAATATCTGATGCGAGTTTGGAGCGGTTGGGGACCACCGGTGTGTAACGCGCAAGGAGCGCGTGTATACCTGCTGAGCTGGAGAGGAAAATCGCGCAAAGAAGGAAATGAACCCTATAAAAAGGGAAAGAGGAGTGAGTCAAAGAGGCCCCTTCTTCCCACTCCTGATTTCTGATTTATCGTTTTTGTTAGTTCTTGCTTTCTGCACAATTTCTATTTTCTTTTAATTTCTATTTTGTAATGAGATTCTGGTTCATCTGATGAACTCGATACATGTATTTACAACACTGAAATTGCTGGTTGTTAGGCTAGTGCTGTAAATTATTTTCTAGCATTTCTCTTTTGTAATTTCTTTAGTTCTGTTACTGTGTGTAAGCCTCACCCATATGGATAGTGGCTAACTTTTTAGAGGTTGGGTTTAGGTGATACCCAAACCTCAGTGCTTGTCAAATATTTGATTTTCTGGTTTTAATTTTTATATCTCAGTTGTTTAATGTTTTTTTTTTATGTTTAAAATTATCTGCATTTTGGCCAAATGTCAGAGGTTTGGTTAGGATTTAGTTGTTGAGAAACAACTAATTCTGGATTCTGCATTAGACACATGGACTTAGATGAGAAATCATCTAAGGGATCTCAATTCAGAAATGAATGAGTCCTCATGTAATATTGGACCTGAGTCTCAAGAGTCCTAATCCCACTTAGCATAGAGATATGGAAGTGGGCATCTTTGGGATAAAATAATTTTTAAGAGATTAAAAATTAACAATACAGTCCTGTTAACTGAGAATCTTAGGATGAGCTTTTTGTTAATCAAATTATTTTTCAAGCACTGTGGGGAAGGAGAGCCAAAAACTCAACCCACCTTTTTAAACCTCTTTGTCAATTCAGATTTTCCAATTTCCTTTGTTATTTCATATTTCCATCTCTATTCTGTTTTCAAAAATTTTTGTCACATCTTTCATTTAAGTTGCTTCATTCTTCATTCGTATTTTATAACTTAGGAAAGTAATTCTTAAAATTTTAAAAGAAAAGTGAACAGTAGTGTTTTAGGTCCATTTTAGAATTTTTTTTTTACTTTACAATTTTATTTCTTCTATTTTCAAATAGTAACTCAGTTTTAAGCAATTACAAATTTTAGTCATTTCAAAACGCCAACGATCCTTGTGGGAACGATAACTGGGACTTATAACAGCCCTATATTACTTGTTGTCGCGTATACTTGCGCGCATTACTTGCACAACTGTTAGCAAGGCAACACTTGTCTTGATTTGTTTGGGGAAATTAGTGGGTAAGGGGTACTTTTGGAGTCTCCTGGTTATTTCTTTCATTGTAATTCCATTAGATAGAGGCTGTAACGAGCTTGTATCCATCTTAATTTTCTTGTAATTCCAGTTCCATTATTTGAGGTTTCATTTCAGATCATAACTCGTCCTCATGCTCAATGCAAACTAACTTCAAACACACATTAAAATCTCCTTACAATCTATAGAAAGTAAATTGAAGAAGAGTCCCTACCTTCAGATTTACATATTGTGGACTAAGTAAAAGAATAATGTTTCTTGTAGCTACCAAATATGATGCGAAAAAACATGACAGATATTCATACCTAACTAGATCCAAGGCTGCTTAGTTAAGTCATCCCCAAACATCATGTAAACTACAGATTATGTTGATAATCAACGTAAAGAAATCTTAAATGTAATCCAACGTTCTTCATCAAATAGGATATTATTACAGAAATGAAGTTAAGAACAATATGACTATATCTATGGAGTTTCTAGTCCATTTCATGGAAAGGCTTAATTGCAGGACTTCAACAATAGGTTAATTTCAGAAAACCTCAATGTAGTTTAAAACTCAACAACTCAAATCCTTTAACTTATCAAACTGAAAATATCGACTCCCTATACGGGGGCTTTCTGTACATGCATAGGGTTTAATTTTATATGACCTTGAACAATTTGGTAAGTTAAGGGAGTCAAGCTGGGGGGGGGGGGGGGGGGTTATTTTTAAAATAGCATATATTTTAATTAAAAGAAAGAGTAATAGAGAAAGGTGTTCAAAAGAGAGATTGACTGCTGTGTTGCACATTGTAATGCATAAGGTCATTTTAGCATAAATAACAAATCATGAATGTTTCCATTGCCAATACCAAAAAGACAAGGAATGCCATCTATAATAAAATAACCACTCTCCATTAAAACCGACTAGCGAGGGTGGGTGAGAGTAATCCATGTAAGCAGTCTTACACCTTTACATATTTTCTAAAAGGCTAATTTTCGGATTTGAACCCATGATATTTAAATCACAAAGGAGCTACTTCTAGAGAATGCCAACCATAACGGTACCCATAAATATGGTACACTACCAAACAAATAAGTTATGAAAAAATACATACCACAATTACAAACGCATCCATGTCCACACTGGGAGTATAGGTCACTGAATTCTTCCCTCTGATGTGAATAGCAATTGTTGATGCTAGTCTTCCAAGAATTTTGTCAGTAGCATCAACAACATACCATGTTTTCTCATGAATCACATGATCTGCAACTTTTGGATAATAGGTCTTGTTCCAAATGTCCTGTAATTATTATTTTTTTGGATGGGGAGTTTGCATTTAGATGATCATAATTTCTTTATTTAAAATTCATAACAAACACCCTATGCTTTCCCAAGCTATATAGGCTAGTGAGAGAAGAAAATAAAGGCATAAATTACTGATACTCATGCCAATCTACAATTAATTTACTTCAATAACAACAAATGAATACTACTAATCCCAAATCAGAAGACAACAAAGCTCGATTACTATAACTTCATATCCTAGTTTCATTCCTTCATAACACTGAAATTTTGATAAGCACTAAAGGTAAAAGAATCTTACTCATTTGTAGACATTGAGGGTGCTAGGTATTCTTAATTAGTTGTATAATTCTAGTTTTAAATTCCATGATATCTTGTACATGCAGTTTTTATTAGTAATATTATCTGTATAACTAAGGTGGACTTAGTACAAATCAAACATAAGTTCTAAATAGACGAAAATAAAAGTGCAAATCTGGGGCGGCAAAATAGAATTTACCAAACTGGTTCAGTTATGTTAAAGATGCAGTATGTTGAAGAAAGCTAAAGATAGTGTAACCATGTGGAGCTACAATCAAAGTTATTCCATATACACAGGCAAAGACAGATAACTGCCTAGTTGTTGAGAATATAATTGTTGCAGTAGTTATTGTAGGAATGTAACTGCTATCATGCAACTGTTATAAAAATCATTGTAGGAATGTAAGTTATTGTAGGAATGTATCTGCTGTAATGTAGCTGATGTAGAAGTTATTGTAGGTACTAGGAGACTAAATAATAAAGGCTGGAAAAACACGTAAGAGAAGGCAGAATTTAAGTTCAGAAAGTTAGGAGAATAAGGAGAGAACATGCCTCTCCAATGCATGCTTCTACAATTCTGTGTATTGTCATTATATATATATATATATATATATATATATATATATATATATATATATATAATATGTTTCAGATTTTTTATGATTTCAGTGGAGTAGTTCTAATTTAATTTCAGTTACTGTTCTACTTTTATTTATTGTGTATTGATGTATTTTGATGTTTTAAATTAGTATCTGGTAAGGAATTTAGAAACTAAATCATCCCCGATGGTGATACACCCGTGAGGTTGTGCTTGTAACCATCTTTTGGCTTTATAGATAACCAACAAGTCACCAGTTTCAGTATGAAATAGTTGAGCATGAAGAAAAAGACTATAATGGTTTAGAATTTACCTGCAGGTTTCTTTGATTTAGATCCAGCAGATAGATGATTTGCTCATCATATATCTGCAACTTTTTTTTATTTTTATTTTTTAAAAAAGAACAAGTCCTTGTGTAAAAAGGACTAAAATAAGAAGATTAAGTTGTTTGTAAGGATGTTTAGTTTAGTTTGCTCATGCCAGAAATACAACAGCAAACATCATGAACCACTCCATATAAACTTCAAAGAATTTAACAAAATAGAATTTAATGCTTACTACTTCATTTATTACGGCAAACAGCTGCTCAAAGGCGTGAGTGAGGTGTAAGGCATTGTTTATCATTTGTTATATTTTCTTCAGACAAAAAATTGGCAGGACCCCTAAGTCTTTACATTCCCATCTAATAAGTTTGAAAATTATAAATGTATTCCACTTAAAAAGCCTGACAAGATTGACTAAACAAGTTTCCTCATAAATAATTAAAGATTAAAATATTAAAACACCAAACATATGTATTCATGCAGTACTTTCTGGTTAACTAAGTACTAATAAAGAATATGATTCGTCTCACTCTAAGACAAAAATTACAAAAAGAAAACGATCAAAGACTAATTTCTATATCTATAAATGAACCCACAAAGAGCTAAGGACCTTCCCACACTGCAATGTGTGAAGCATTCTATCTTTTTCTTATGCAAATCTCCAGATGGAGAGATGCATAACAATCAAAACAGTCAAATGGAATCACAAGGAACCCTGATGTAGGAATATCTGCAGTGCCCCTTTGAATGTTCTTGGTAGAAGACATCAACGTTAGACAGCTTCCGTTAGACTTGGCGGCTATAGCATGACCATACCCTGACTGAGAAGAGTTAGGCCCCATGCAGCTAATAGTGACCACATTTCCCATATTCTCAACAACATTGTTTTTGAGAATAAACAAATTTCCATCTGTTTGCTCTTGAAGAATAAGAAATTCATCATCAGGATTCACGGATACATGGAAAGAGTGATTGTATAAAAATTGGATTCCAGAACTTTTATGTTTATTGCTGAAGTGGAGGGATAACTCCTTTGATGAGGCAACAAAGTCACAACCTTTGTGTGGGCATAAACATGGAATGTAGATACATTTCTTCTCATGGTTATTCCTTTCACTGTAACTCAATGTCTCTTTGCAACCATATTTTGCATTAAGGCATGATATGTTAATAGATTCCAACACTTTCTCAATAGCTTTGCAACGGTTGTAATGAATGCGAGATGAGCACTCAAGACACTCCCTTCCAAGAGCACAACAGGTAAAGCAAGCAAAATGCCCTTTCTCGCACTGCAAAAATCACAAATGAAGTTATTAAATTAGATTTTGCATTATATGGTACCTTATAACCAACAAAATTAACAAATGCCTTAGAAAGGCTTGCAAATTGTAGTAAAAAGTTCAAATTTTACGCAACAAATAACAAATAAAAGAAACACAAACAAAAAGAACCACAAGTGCCACGGAAAAAACTTCTCATATATGAATACCAGGAATAAAAGCATGCATGACACCTTGTTTGACTAAGAATTTAAGATTAAGTGCAATTCCTAGTGATGTATCAGAATGATACTTAATACCGTAACGAAAAATACAGCTTACTTAATCAAAAATTTCTAGCAATAAGCTCACAGAAATTAAAGTTCATATCACATAAAGCTTTTTTTTGGTCTCCTGCTAACAACGTACATGATATATTGCATATGAGACTCTGCCTAATTCAACTTTGTAACAGAGCTAATATAAACATTAGCGCAGGATACAGAAAAGATGGTGCAAAGACTAAAAATTATAAACTGCTAAGACTTGAGTCACTCAACAAATAACATTAGCGCAGGATCACCATATATGCATATAATCAGTGAACAGTAAATGATAAATATAATCAAATGAATCAATAGCAAATAGAAAATTTTCATTCCATATAATTCTGAATTTGATTCTCGAATCAGGGTAAAAGCGATAGGCAATCACAATTTTTCACCAAAAACAAATTAAACTGCAAATTAATGAAAAGAAAACAGAAAAAGCTGAAGTTTAAGAATGATAGATGGGACAAAGATATATTATACCTGGAAGACAGGAATAGTCAATGGTTGACAGCAGCTGCAGCAGTCGAGGACTTTAGGGTTAGAAAGGGTGGCAGAAATAGGGTCTATGCCCTTAAACTTAGATGTTGCTTCATCATCTTCCATAGGATTGTTTTCTCCAACATCCTCATCATGATTTTCACTCCCTTGGCAATGCACATAGTCTTCCAACTCAATTTCGCAGCCTTCTCCCTCCTCTTCCGGATCTTCTTCTTCCTCTTCCGGATCTTCTTCCTCTTCCTCCTCTACTGGTTCTTCTTCTTCTTCCTCTTCTGGATCTTCTTCCTCTTCCTCCTCTACTGGTTCTTCTTCTTCTTCTTTCTCTACCACTTTCTCAACTACTTCCTCCTCTACCAGTTCTTCTTCTTCATCTTCCGGCAGAGGTATGTATTCATATTCAATAGTAGTAAGCCTGCGTCGCGTATGTTTCTGGACTGGATTGCTGCTGGATCTTTTCCTTTTATGGAAACGGTGAACCAAATCTTTCTCCATCTCTCTGGAGCGCGCAAAGCTAAAACAAGGAAGTTCTCTCTCAATTTTCTTTGCTGTCGACAAACCCTTAAGCTCACTCTCAATTTTCTTTGCTGTCGACAAACCCTTAAGCTTTATAGTCTCTGGTCACGTGCTCGATTTGATATCCTATTAGATAGCGATTATGATTTATTAAAATTTTAAATCGTTATACGCACGTAAATCTATAAATATTCGATGTAAGAATATATGGCTCCTTAGTATAATTTGAATTAGATCGACTTCCCGTTTTAGATTGATAGAGACCACAAATCTTTTATCAATATACAATCTTGTAATTCATTGATTTGTATACTATTTGCCTATACAATGACCATTCACACACTAATTTTTTTTTTTAATCTATATGATCTTACTATAGTATCGTTGTTAGTATATAATGTCACTCTACAAAACACAGTTATTGTAATCTTGCCAACAATTAAATATTAAATAATTAACTATAAAACATGAATAACAAAATACAGTTGATTTTCGTCAATAAACGGTTAAGATTTTCACAAATAAGATTTATTAATTGATTTTTAATTCGCAATAAATCTTAATCGTTGATTGATGAAAATCAATGGTTAAGATATTGGTGGTAAGAAGTTGTAAAGAAAAATAGGTTGTAAGTATAACATTTCCCTTTGTTTATTTGTCATATAAAATAATAATTGCGTGATTATTGCTATTGAAATAAAGAAACTATTAAATAGTTTAAATTTTACGGGAAAAAACTTAAATATCTAATATAAATTTTATTTATTCCATCATTGATACTCTTCTATGCGTCGGATGTACAATAAATTGGTAGAACCGCATTATTTTCATAACTACAAAATTTTACAACATCTTACAATTTTTTTTTACCGTTAATTTCCATAATTCCAATAGTTATAATTTATTATAAATTAATAATTAATAATAAATGTAATCCGATAAATCATAACCGTTACATTGACAAAAATTAATAATGAAAAAATAAGTTGCAAAAAGGTGTAAAATTTTTAGGTTGTAAGTATAACGCGCGTTTTAAAATATGTAAACTATTTTAAAAATAATAAATATACAAAAAAATTACAAAATTACGTAAAAATCTGACATGAAATCATAGATTCTCTTTAAGTCTTTAATTCTCTTTCCCAATTCACTAATATGTAACAAAATAATAATAATAATAATAATAATAATAATAAATACTTCCATATATAAAAATTAAAAATTCTCAATTTCTTTACATTAGGATTACCTGCTTTATAGTCTCTGGCACGTGCTCGATTTGATATCCTTTTAGATAGCGATTATGATTTATTAAATTTTTAAATCGTTATACGCACGTAAATCTATAAATATTGGATGTAAGAATATCTGGCTCCTTAGTATAATTTGAATTAGATCGACTTCCCGTTTTAGATTGCTAAAGACCACAAATCTTTTATCAATATACAATCTTGTAATTCATTGATTTGTATACTATTTGCCTATACAGTGACCATTCACACACTAATTTTTTTTTTTTAATCTATATGATCTTACTATAGTATCGTTGTTAGTATATAATGTCACTCTACAAAACACAGTTATTGTAATCTTGCCAACAATTAAATATTAAATAATTAACTATAAAACATGAATAACAAAATACAGTTGATGTCATAGCATACTATGTACATTAATTCTATATATCTTTCGACTCATGTAATCTCTATATATTATTTTAACTTATTAGTACTTACGAACTTAAAAAAAAAAAAAAAGTATGTATAGTTTACAGACCTATAACATGCTATACTTAAAACCCAATTAATTAATATGTGATATCTAATACTGTTATTTTTGTCGTTATTTATTAAAATTAAGAGATAAATAAATATTACATAAATATATATATATATATATACATAAATATATACACATATATATATACATATATATATATATATATATATATATATATATATATATGAGGAAGGTTGTACTTACAACCATTTTTTTGCAACCTTATCGTAACACTGTTTATTTCCGCCAATCAACTGTTGATTGGCGAAAATCAACGGTGTTAAGATATGGTTGTAAAAAAAAAGTTGTAAGTATAACCTACCTCTATATATATATATATATATACATTCACCCACCGGAAAAGGAAAAGAACAGAGGGTCTAAAATAAAAACAAGAGGAAAGTAAGAGAAGAAGAAAGAAACCAAATAAAAGGAGAGTAGAAAAGAAAAGAGAAAAGAGGGAAATAAATACAAGAGAAAGAAAAAACTAGAGAAGAAATTAAGCGAAATCAAAGGAAGGTAATATTGAAGGATAAAAACTTTTTTTCTTTTCACTATTTCTTTTAAGGATTTTTAATAGTACTGTTACTCTGCCAGATTCGTTTTAAAAGAATTCTTTTTCTACTTGATTTTATTCTTGCCTTTAACTTTATTATTATCTTGTTTTTTTAATGTTGATTATTGACTGATGAATTATTTGGTACCAAATAAACACTAAGAGAATGTATAATTGTTAACTGTTGATGCTGCTGTGAACTAACGGACAAAGTTGTGGGATCAAACAGTAAATTTGTAAGGGATGCCTTACTTGGCTTGAGTTCTGCCAATCAGACCATTTCACATGCAGGGACCCATAAAATTGGAAATTTAATTAACTTCAGTTAAATGTTACAAAATTTATTAATTGTGATTTTTTTATATTACTTCTTTTTATAAAATTATTTAAGAGAATAGTATTTTCCACTATTACGGCTGGAATGGTTATAGTTAGAAAGCCTCAATACTACTGAGACTTTCATCGCGTTTGTTTATTTGTGCTAACCTTTCTAGAGGATCATCATGCCTAGTTTGTGTTTTACCGGCGAGAATTAAGGAATTTTCGTCTATTTCTATGAAAAACGTTCAGAGTTTTATATTATACTGGTATATTACCCATGCGATGCATGAAGGGGAAAAATCGGTCGGTTTGTCGAAAAAAACTTTTCGAACTGGGAAAACAGAGTTACATACCATTTTTACTATCACGAAGCCATTGTATAGTATTATAGTAAGAAAAAAATATTTATCACAGCACACCCAAGGTATTCATGCTTTCATAGTCAAAATCCAATTATCCACATTTTGTATAAAAACTTTATTTTAATAATAATATAGGGGTCATGATCATTTTACACTAGTGTAAGTTACACTCTTCATCTTGTCCGTTGATCCCACGAGTATAAATATATGTAACTGAATTGTGATTAGTTGGTCATTTTTATAATTTAATATTTTCTTATTAAGAATATTTTTAATAGTTTATGTAATAAGAAAATTTTGACATATAAGGAGTTTAATAATATACATTCTAATCACAATGTGTCTAAATGATAAGTTTTAAATCACATAAAGTTAATTAATAATATACAACAAAATCACAAGTAGTGAAAGTTGAGTTTTCCCTTCTTCAATTTACAAAAAAAAGAAGAATAAATACAATTGTGATATTAATTGTGCTTTTTGCTTAAAATATTATCATCATGTGAGTTAAAGTGAGAAGAGTTAAAGTGAGTTAAGCAAAACACTCTACCATTTTAGCCTCCTTCCTAAAAAAATCGAGAGAATGCCATTGTTTGAGGGGAGGGGGGAGCTTAAAACCTAACTTTTGTCGTGGTGGATGAATGACTTTGATGATTGAGAGTAAAATCCTTAGAATTCTGTTGTGAGTAAAACCCTACAAGCCATTTCACATTAGAAGTCTTGTTTGAAGAGAGATCACCACCTAAAGTTCTTAGGTTTTTCAAGCTTTTGGAGTTTTTGAGGGTTGTTTGACTCATTTGAGCTAGGAAAATCATCACCACCTCACGCTAGGTTGATCTATGGTGAGTAATCTCAGCTTATTTCATGTTTGTAGTAAAAACTCAACATTGGGAGCAGTTTTACCTGCATCCTAAGGATGCGGCTAATGTCAATGTGGCAAGAGAATTTTATGCAGAAATTTTAAATGACAGTCAAACTGAGGTTAGTGTGGCATTAAAGTTTCCTTTGAACCCAAGGTTATTAGGGAATTCTTTTCCCTACCGAAGGCCTCTAAAGATGAGTTTTCCAAGCATGTCAAGAAGCATGATCCTGCTTTCATGGCAGCAATATTAGAGGTCATAGCAGTCCCTGGGGCTGAATGGGAGATAAAGGAAAAGAACTATACTCTGCAAAAACACTTTCTAAATGAAAAAGCTCAAACGTGGTACCACCTCATTAGAGCCAGATTGCTCCCTACCACTCATGTAAATTTAGTAACTAAGGATAGAGCTGTGTTGTTGTGGTGTTTATTGGTTGGGAAACCAGTAGATGCTGCCAAATTAGTTTTTAGAGGAATTGGAGCTTGTGCTGGGGGTAGGAAAGGCAAGCTACGGTTCCCTAGCTTCATATCACAATTATGCAAGAAAAAGGGTGTCACAGCAAACCAAGCTGATGTGTTCTTTAAAGTTAGTGAGGCTATAACTCTGCGAATCATTACTAAATTAAAAAAGGGCATTGCTGCACCCTCTGTTGAGAAAGAAAAGTTGGAAATAGAAGGAAAAGAAAAGTTGAAGGGGGTAGTTGAAGAGGAGAAGACTCAGTCTTCTCCCCCAGAAAAGAAAGGGAAATTTGCCCCTGATGTTGCTAGTTCTCAGCAACAGGAGGCTGAAAATATTGCAAATCACTTGGAGACTATGGTCCCTCCCACTGAAGACCAGCCTTTCCCAGGCGGGTTACATAATAATCTGGTTCACATACATAAAGTGCTCATGCAAATGCAAGATCATAACAAAAAAATGGACTTGCTGTTTGAGAAAACATATGATCAATTTTACACTTTTATGTATAATAGAGCCAGATTTCATGATTACATTGTAGGGAGGGACAGAGTCTTGAATAATTTTTTGAAAAATACCTTTGCAAATTTTCCTGGTTTACCTTCACTTCCTGATGATTTAACATGGCCACCTTCTTCAGTATTT